GGCCAGGCTGTTCTTGAACTCCTGACCTCAGGTAGTCTGCCCGCCTCAGCCTCCCTAAGTGCTGGGGTTACAGGCATAAGCCACTGCACCTGGCCCTCTCCCTTCTTTTATAATTACCCCTGTGTTTATCATTACTTCATGGCCACCATCAACTGGACCATTGTTCTTACCTCTGAAATCTTTTCCTTGTCATCATCTGTTCTCTCTCTCTCTCTTCCTACACACATCTTAGGTCCTAATTCAACCTTCCTCTGGGTTTTCTTATTCCCCAGAACTCATATCCTACTAGTCTCCTTTCTTTAATGCCAAATTTTTCTGTAAAACAGTTGACCGACCCTCTCTCCTTTAATTTCTGCACGGCTTTTTCTCTACTATTTGCCTTCTTCCTACTGTTTCCTGATGACCCTATTGTTTAATCCAGAGACCGTTTCTTTGCTTCTCATTGCCTTTGACTATTCTGCAATTTTGACATCTTTAAAATTACTGTCTTCCTTAATTTGGATCACAGTATCCTCTGAACTCTCTTGTCCTCTCTGACGTTTAAAAATGTTTTATCGTCTTCTCATTCTATAAACATACAAATCATCTGAGATGCTTTCCTTGCCTTCATCAAAACACCCTACATCCAGTTCTTCCTTCTAAATGGCCTATTTATATGGTCTAATGGGACGATCCTTCTCCTAAGTCACCCATGGCTGGGAGGCCTCAGAGTTGTATTTAATGCTGCCTTCCCCCTTCTGCCTACAGTTCTATCGGCTTCCTTTCATTCATCCTTTGCCTCTTCTCTCCCATTACCCTAGTTGAGGCTCATAGAACATCATGCCTGAATTATTGCAACTGCCTCCTAAGTGGTCCTTCCACCTCCAGTCATTCTTTCCTCTTCAATTCATCCAGTATATCACCCCTAGACTATTTGTCAGAAATCACCGCCTTGAATATTTCCTCCCCTACCCCAACTCAGGCTTTCCATGATGCTCCATTACCTGCCCAATAACTCCAAACTCCCTACAGCTTCACAGAGAGCTCCCAGTTTATTGCTCCAGCTTCGTCTTCCACTCCTCTCACCCATACTTACTGGTTTATTTGCTGTTCGTCATACAAGCATACATTTTTCTACCTCTGGGGCGTTCTGTCCCTGGCATGTGAAATGCCTTTCTACTCAAGTCTTAGAGCATTGACGAGTCAAGGCAAACTCAATTCTACTACTTAATATAGAGTCTACATTAATTAGAGGGACTCCCCTCTAATTATCTGTGTACAGTTTCTCTCCCTATTTCTATCTCTTTGCATCACTGCTACTTCTGCATTTTTGTTTGTTGTTTGCTTTTTTTTTTTCCTTTTTTAAAAATTTTTTATTATACTTTAAGTTCTAGGGTACATGTACACAACGTGCAGATTTGTTACATATGTATAAATGTGCCATATTGGTGTGCTGCACCCATTAACTCATCATTTACATTAGCATCTCCTAATGCTATCCCTCCCTCCTCCCTGATCCCCACTTCGCACAATAGGCCCCGGTGTGTGATGTTCCCCTTCCTGTGTCTGAGTGTTCTCATTGTTCAATTCCCACCTATGAGTGAGAACATGCGGTGTTTGGTTTTCTGTTCTTGTGATAGTTTGCTGAGAATTCTGGGGTTTTTTTTTAAGAGACAGAGTCTCTCTGTCACCCAGGCTGGAGTGCAGTGGTGTGATTATAGCTCACTGCAGTCTCCAACGTTTGGGCTCATGTGACCCTCCCCCTTCAGCCTCCTGAGTAGCAGAGCCTACACATGTGTATCACCATGCCTGGCTTCCACTTCTGTGTCTTTTACTGCATGCGAATTTGTCTTGTACGTGTTTTATCTTGTACTGTTTCACCAACTAGCTGGAAAGCCACCTTACCCTGTTGAAAGTCTTCCGGTGCCTCCCCCTAATTTCAGGATTAAGTTTAAATTCTTCAGCTTGATGTATGAGTCTCCTCATGACCTGGTACCCTCTTGCGTTTCTTCTCACACCTCCCACACCCTTCTGCGTTTACCAAAGTCCCAGTCATTCCCAACTTCCTGAGTTTCCCAAAACACCCCACATGCTTTCGTGCCTGTTTGCCTTTGTTCATCCACAGGATGAACAAAGGCCTGGAATGTCTTCCCTCATTGATTTTACTGGCCAATCATGACCCTCTTTCAAAATCCAACTCAGGTGATACCCCCTTCAGGATACTGATGCCCCCGTCTGTGAGATGTGCATCTGTTTTGCCTCCGCAGCATCCTGTGATACTGCACTGCCCCTGTTCAGCTGCTGACCCACCTTTACTAGGGACTGTAAATTTTCTGCAGATGGGACACTTCCGTCCTTCTCCCATATATTCCTAGCACCTCATCCAGCGGCTGCTGGAGTAGTGAAAGGAGGCAGGTGTGGCATGGGCAAGGCCAGCTGATCACACAGGTAACCACAAGGTGGCATTTACTAGATGAATTTACCATGACTCAGAGCCTGACTTTCAGGCTGGATGCCTGGTAACTTGGCTTACCATATTGAGAGTGGCTGCATCTCAGGAAGGTAAACCTTATTAACCGAAGGCATAGAGGCTCCTCTATAAAATCAGCGTGCCTGTGTACTGATTATCTTGAACAGGATGATTGCTGGCATTGACCTGACCGGGGTGTTCTCCTCTCATTTACATGCCACACAGAAAACAAATTCTCTCGTTATAGATTTTCAGCCAATTCCTTTTGTTTCACAATGGCTAATCACATGAATTGTGTGTGGATTTTACTGAGCTCACCTCTTAGAGAACAATCTTATTTCTAAATTCTTGGAGAGAGGTAGAAACCCTCTCCTGTAGTGTTTACGTGCTGATTAATCTGACATTTACTAAGCCTTTAGCAAACACTTGTTGTGACATGACCAGGTAGTTCCTGAATGAATAAATGAATGCAGATCGTGACACTAGATAGACGGCAGTGATGGAAAGTCCAGTTGTGGCAAAGTAGCATGTAGACATGCTCCACATGACCTGATTATTGGAAAATGATTTTCCCCTTAAAAGCTCCTTTTGCTCCCTTACACATTTCTGACTCTTTTTCCTCATATTCTTCTCAGCCATCATGTTGGCATCTACTGCCGTGTATGGGGGAACCTCACTAGCACATTCCAGACTGAGCTTCCCCCACCCTTGGTCTGGCTTCCTTGTCTGCCCTGCTGCTCTGATTGCTCTCACCACAGGCCCTACCTCTTCCCCATTTCTCCTTCCTCCAAAGGAGTTCTAGTTCTCCTGCTGTTTAAATCAGAATATGCCTTGGAGTCGGTACTAAGGTAAGTGACCAAGCACAGATTCTGCTGACGTCTCTGATGCTGCATTTTGAACTCGCGCCTTCGTCTCTGACTTCAGCCCTCCTCTCGAGGTGTATTCCAGCATGTTTTGAAAGGAAACAGCTCCAAAGAACGTAAAAATATCAGGATCCCTTATCCGTAGGATGTTAAAATAAAGTCGGCTCAGAAGAGGACAATTAGCCTTTTCTTAACAAAGTATCAAAGGTACTGTAGGCATGAAGCATGTAGATAAAGTTGGACTGAATTGTTCTTGTTGTTTTTATACTCATGCCTTGACGTGCATATTGTGGCTGCATAATCCCAAAATTTATCACCCCTGTGGTTCTTTAACCTTGTGGTGAGAAAATTACATTTCTGGTCATTTGCCAGTGTTAGGAATTTCTGATTCTAATATCCAACTTAGTATTAATTTTTCACTATTTTAAATGGCTAAGAAATTATGTTTCAAGTTGGATACCAATACCTTTAAACAAAATAAGAATAGGAATTTTTCTTTCACATTGTATCTTTTTCTCTTTTCCCCTTCATCCCTAAATTGAATTTTTTACATAAATACATTGTGCTTCTTATCAAGAACTCCAGGTTGGTCCTCAAGAAAGCTTAGACACTTAACCGCAATAAAGAAATAATATCTGCCCCAATTTTTAAGCAACTATTGTGTGTATGCCAATTTCTGTGCAAAGTATAATATTTTACATACCCTAAATGTATTTTTTCTTTACTTTTCTGTTTTTTTTTTTTTTTTGAGACAGAGTCTTGCTCTGTTACCCAGGCTGGAGTGCAGTGGCGTGATCTTGGCTCACTGCAACCTCCACTTCCTGAGTTCAGGTGATTCTCTTGCCTCAGCTTCCCAAGTAGCTAGGATTATAGGCACACACCACCATGTCCAGCGAATTTTTGTATTTTTAGTAGAGATGGGGTTTCTCCATGTTGACCAGGCTGGTCTCGAACTCGTGACCTCAAGTGATCCACCCGCCTCGACTTCCCAAAGTGCTGGGATTATAGGCATGAGCCACTGCCCCTGGACCCCTAAATGTAATTCTTAAACAACCCTCTGAAGAGTGTCACCCCCAGACAGCTCTCCCCATTTTACAGATGAGGATCCTAATATTGCCCAAGTCCCAGTGCGGGAACAGAGCAGAACTGGAAGCCAAGCACACTTCCTTGTTCACGCTCTTTCCCCTGTAGTACTTCTGCCTCCTTGGTAACATGGCTGTGTTTCCAGGTTTTGCCACAATGTCTTCCTACCATAACAAGCACAACGAATGTGCGCCTTATGTTTTGTGCTTTTCGTCCTGTTATTTTCCACCTATAGAAGGAATAAAATATTTGAGGACATTATATATGTGGCTTCATTATTATGTGTCAGTCATGTGCTGCCACATATGGAACAGATGCTGTGTGACTTCCAAAAGTTGTGTCATGGCACAATTAGAAATAGCCCGTTAGAAGGAGGTAACAGTATATATTTTTAAACGTAAGTTTGCTACACTGTTTTTAATATTATATTCTTATATATTTGTATGTATCTTTTATATATGTTTATTTTATGTATATTTACATATGTGTATATATACATACTTATGTATATGTATGTGTATTTATTGTATGTATATTTCATTTTATGTGTATTTTATTTTATATATTTTTACATAGTTTATATCATATATTTCTGTGTTTTTTAGCTGATGAAGAGTATGAAGATGGAATTGAAAGGACGTGTGACACTCTCCTTATGTGCATTGTCACCGTGCTGAACCAGGGCCTCAGGAACGGTGGTGGTGTGGGGGATGTGCTAAGAAGGCCATCAAAAGATGTAAGCCAGAGTAAAAGTATTTTTTCAGGAAGCACATCTTTTTTTTAAACCTTTCTTCGCAGCATTTATAATTTGGGTTTGGTTTTCAGGATAATATATTGTACCATTTGCTTTAAAAGTATAGCCATGGCTGTTAAAGCCAATTAATTGTTTGCTAGGATTACATGGAAACAGCTAATGTACTACAATTCTTTGTGTGTTTGTAGAGTGGTGAAGTGTTTCCAAGTTAATCTGTGTATTGCATTACAGCAATGAAATCATGACTGGGAACTTTATATAGGAGTTGATTATTACATAAATAACATAAACGAGGTTTCCTCTTGCCTATCAGGTTTCTTGAGCATGAAGATTTACTCTTTGATTCTGCATAGGAATAGCCTCCATCATTTATCCATGATAAATACAATTGAGCCAATTCTAACAGGATTTCATATATTAAAATGGCAAAGTGGAAACATTTCTCACTAGCTGGAAAATCTCAAGTGCCAGGCGGGGAGCTTGAAGCATCTTAGCTCTGCTCAGGCCAGTTGTATCATATTGTCAAGTCATCTAACCTCTTAACCTCAGGTTCCTCTTCAGTTAAAAAACTGGATTGCATGGTCTCTAATTTGCATTTTAATACTGTTCCTCAGGTAGAAATAAGAAGGAGCTGTATATACTTGACACTGTATGGCTGAGATAAAGCCTACTCCAGAAATTGACAGATCATTAGGTCCTCCTTAGCTCCCTAATCACTGAATTTTGGAATTGGCATTTAACTACCTTTTCTACAATGTCTGGGATAGGAGACCACTGTGCCAAAATGCATTTAGCAGAATGGCATAATAAAGTCATTTCTAAAGAAAGCAAAGTCCCACCATTGCGGGAAAGACATGTGTCACTCCTAGAGAAATTTAAGTGGTTCTGGAAATAGGCTAGGAAGTTTTTCTTACAACACTTCAAGTAAAGATGGAAAGTGAGCCTTATTTTTCCAACTTGGGATACTATTTATATTCATTTCGCAAACATTTATTGAATATATTCTCTATGCTAGACAGTGTCCTCAATCAATATGCCTAGAAAGTGTGTGTGTATATATATGTGTATACACACACACACACACACACACACACACACACACACATATATATATACATATACATGTATATATCTATATACACACACACATTTTTTTTAAATTTTTATTTCAGGAGCCCTTGTTTGCTGCCCGAGTGGTTTATGACCTTCTTTTTTATTTCATTGTTATCATTATTGTTCTGAACTTGATTTTTGGTGTTATCATCGACACTTTTGCTGATCTCAGAAGTGAAAAACAGAAAAAAGAAGAAATTCTAAAGACAACTTGTTTCATCTGTGGTAAGTGTTCTGCAGATGCTAAAATAATAGATGAATAAACTGTTTGCAGGAAAGAGGGGCTAGAGGGATTTTTATTTTTCATGCTTTTGGAAAAATTATTTCAAAATGAAGGCTGGATAAAATTCAGATTATGTAACTGAGCATTAGACTGGAATTCTCTGCTTCTATAAATAGAGAGAGGAATTATACCCCAAAGCTATCCTGTCATTATTTCTATGATTTACATGATTCTCTGACTATAGAAATGTGATGCAAAATGCCAAAAGATTTCATCAACTGGCAAACAGGCTTTTAATCACATTAACATATTTATTACACAACAGAATGATATTTAATTTTGTTAGAATATGAATCCGAATATGATTTTCCAGCAGCTTGAACTTCTACTCACTGATATCACTATGTTTTGGATTCTGAACTGAGTATTCTCTCAGTTTGTTTGTTTGTTTGCTTGTTTGTTTATTTATTTATTTAGAAATGGAGTCTTGCTCTGTCACCCAGGCTGGAGTATAGTGGCACGATCTCAGCTCATGCAACCTCCGCCTCCTGTGTTCAACTGATTCTTCTGCCTCAGCCTCCCAAGTAGCTGGGACTACAGGCGTGTACCACCACGCCCGGCTAATTTTTGTATTTTCTGTAGAGCCAGGGTTTCTCCATGTTGGCTGGGCTGGTCTCGAACTCCTGACCTCAGGTGATCCACCCACCTTGGCCTCCCGAAGTGCTGGGATTGCAGGTGTAAGCCACCGTGCCTGGCCCTTCTCTCAGTTTTTAATTTCTCTCTCTCCTCTCTCTCTCTTTCTCTCTCTCTGTCTCTCTTACACACACACAAACACACACACACACACACACACACATATCACTCCCCTCCCCTTCTCCCATCATCATCTCTCCCAGTGTACACAGCCTTCTCCTTCCTTCTCGCTGCCCTCATCATCCCCCTCGGCTCTGCCCTCTTCTCTGTACCCACCACCTCTTTCTGGCTTCAGATGTCTTTGTAGCTGGTCTCTTGGCACCCTAGAATCTATCCTCCTCTTTGGGTGATCACCCACTCTAGGTTTCAGTCACCTTCCTTGTTTCCACATTAGGCTGAAAAAAATCTTTTGGTGATAGTCACAAAACAAGCCTAAGGGGTTCACTACAACATTACTCTATGTAATAGATTGGGCCCTCAATATATTTCATTCTCTCCTTGGTTCAACTTTTGTTGAGTGACTTACTCACCTCAGTGGCTCTCCAAACCTTTTCTACCTTCCTCCAACAGTTGAAGGTGTACCAGGTGATAATGTAAAATAATATGCTATATTCAGTGGAAACAAATAGAAAGTAGTCATTCCCTGTTTTGGTGTGTTCACGATCTATTTTGGGATACAAACCCAATAAATAGCCTTGCTATCTCATGCATGGAAGGAAATGGTAGAGAAGTTTACAGGAAGCTGCAGGTACCCAGAGGAGAGATACCTCTCCAGGGTGGGGTAGGGAGTGAGAAAGAAGAGTCAGGAAAGCCTTTAGAAGAGATGGTAACTGAGCTGGTGTTAAAAGATGAAAGGGAGAGGTTGCCAGATCAAAGTGAATACAAGCAGAAAGGCCAGGACAAGCAAAGTCATGGAGGTGGAAGAACAGTACAAGGGCCTTCACTTACTCTAAAGCAGCTTAGTGTTTCTGACATAAACTTCAGAGCAGGGCACGCTAAGAGAGGAGATTGGCCAGACCACGTGTGGCCTTTTATGTTAGGCAGCTTGGACTTTATCATCCGGACTTACCGGGGAAGATGAACCATTAAAGAATTTTAAGTAGAACAGTGCAGGGTCTAATTTTTTTTTGTTTTAGAGCACTGTGGCAGCTTTGGGAGGTCATTCATCAGGAAACAGTACCAGAAGCAGAGTCATCAGGTAGGAGGTCATTACCACAGTCCAAGTGAAAGGTAACGAAAGCAGGAGAGTTAGTGGTGGCAGTATTAAGGGTAGAAGACAAAGTCAAGAAATATTTAGGAGATCACATCTTTAAATCTTGATGGTTAGGAAAGGATATGAAAGACAGCTTGGGTGCCCAAGCGGATGGTAATACTAACAAGCGATTAAGCTTGAGAATAGGTGAAAAAAACAATTTAGGTAGGAATATGCTGAGTTTAACTTTGAGAATCCTGAAATTGAGGTGTATACTGACCCACCCCAGAGGGATACAGCACAGGTCAGTTCATGAGTCTGAGCCTCAGAGATTGAGTCTTCACTGGAGACTTAACTGGGGAATCCTCAGCCTATATGTGATAGTGAAATCTGGAGTGTGGAGGAGGGTGTCCAAGTGAGACGAGAAGCAGAGACACTACAAGTGGAAAGCCCCAGCTTTGAAGAGTTAGAAGAGAAAGAGGAGCACACACCAACAACTCAGAGTACCAAGTCAGAATACTGTGAGGAGAGCCAGGAAGGGGTGGCCTGTGGAAGAGAGGGGAGAAAACAATTTGGAAAGAAATGAATTCATTATCAACTCTCTCCAAGCAGAGAAAGCCAGTAACATGGTCTGAAAAAGCCTTCTGATTTCTTATTTAGGAGGCTTTGGTGAATTCAGGTAGAGTGGATTGTGCAGTGCTGAGTAGAGATTTGCTAGAAGGAAACTGAGAGTGATCCAAGAGTCTTCTGTTTAATGTCTCAATTAGATGGGGAAAGCAAAATTGAGATGTAATCAAGGAAGATGTCATACAATTCGGGGGTTTGGGGAAGAGGCTGAGAGGACACTCCTTCAACCTTGGAAGATAAATATACCTCCTCCTACCTTTATAGAAAAATAACCCATACCCTGTATTTTTTTCTATTTTTCTCTTCTTTATGTGACAACTATCACCACCTCCATTTCTTCACAATAGATGTATGTGTGTCTCCTTTCTTCTCTTCTCAGCCTTTCCAAGGATGATCCTCTCTTCCCTTGGGTCACCTCACCTGGAGCTCTGTCCCCTTTCAGCCTCATCATAAACATTTTTTAAAATGATTATTTATTGAATACTTACTACATTTCTGGCTTTTTACTTAGGTATTTATTTTGATACTATGTATGATGTATATTACCACCCCTTTACAAACATAGGAACAGAGACTTGGCTCCCATCAACATCCAGTTAGTAAGCAGAAGAGCCAAGATTTGAACAGAGGACTACCTAACTCAAAAGTCCATTCAGTTATCCTATTCTAAAATGACAAAGTGACAGGTTCTCATTCAAGTATAACCAAGCCTAAGGACAGATCCTGGTGGAAGGGTATAGCGTTATGGGGCCAAGCTGTTGTTTAGAAGAGTGAGTCCCATACAGGAGAATGACGCTGCCCTCGGAAACTTCTCGGTGTATCTCATGGTCTTTCTTTTGCACTGCTTCTTCCTCTATGCCCTTTTCTTCATGGTCGTGATCATCATCATGTTGGTACACTACCTCTGAGAGAGATGCTCTTTGGAAGAATGGACCAGAGGCTGGAAGCCTCATTCTAAGACATGATATTGTCTCCTATGTTTTAACGAAAAACATGAACAGCAACCTAAGCCCATTGCTTACCCATGATTCCTGCTCCTCTAAGCTTTCCCTTCACAGTCAGAATTCTCTTTGGCTTTCACAGTTATTAAAAAGCCAGTCACCTATAAATTCCTTTAAACATCATAATAACTGTCGTCAACAAACTGAAGTGTTCTTGAATCTCACTGTTAACTTCCCGCTGACCTTTTCTTCTTCCTCTGCTTGCTTTTTCTTGGTCACAGGGTCCTATTCCTTCTCTCAAAACCCCATAATAGGAGGTTTTGATTTTGCCCTTGACTCCTTGTCTCTTCTCTCTGTCCCTCTTTGACATCACTTTTATGCAGATTATTGCCAAGTATGCACGCTCAGCTCCAACCTTTTCCCCAGGCTTTCCCCTCTGTTTTCAGTCGCTCACTGGACAGTTAGACAGGCATGTCTTCCTGGCAGCCAAACCGGCCATGTCTGAAGCCAGTGCATCATCCCTTTCCGTCTCCCCCCCTCAAGCCTAGCTCTTTATCCTGACGTGCATATAGCTATTAATAATATCCCACAGTGCCTTCAGTTATCTGAGGGAACCACACCATCATGTTTAGCATCTCCTTTTTTCTCTTCCAGGTGCCCTAGCTACCATGTGCTAATGAATCCACTTTCACAATCTCACCCACATCCTTCCACACATTCCCACAGCCACATCTTAGTTTTTCAGGCTAACCCTGGCTCACAACCCCAAATGGCCGGCTCAGTGTTGCCAGACTAATTTTTCCAGTTTGAATTATTCATTTCCCTACTCAAAAAGCCATCAATAACATTGCACAGTCTATAACTCTGAAACTCTAATTTTCCTGGCATCTAAGCTACCCCACAATCTGGCCCCTTCTTTTTTTGCCTACCTTCTCCCCCACCATTCTCCCATTTATAGCTCAAGTTCCAGGGCAACTACATTACTTACCTTTAACTTCCTAGACTCTCCATGTATTCTTAGTTGTGGGAGAACAATTTCATTTGGAATGCCCCAATTCCTACGCTCTGAGACACAGCTCTAATGCCATTGTTCTAGAAGTCTTCTCTGATCTCACACATCTGCCCCTATATTCCTCACATCGCACTTAGTGATATGGCACTGTACATATTTCTGTTGTCTGATCACCTCTGCTGGATGCCATGCATTCTCACATCAAAGAAAATGCATGAACTTTATAGTCAAGTAGTCATAGGTCTACACTGGTTCTGCATCCTAGCTATGTGATCTTGGCCAAATTTCTAATCATCCTGAGCTACTGTTTCCTCACCTGGAAAATGAAGAATATAATGCCACGGTTTGTTGTTGTGGTAAGTATAAATGAGATCATGTATATCAAAATCTCTAGCAGGAGGCTTAACTGAAGGTCTGCCCTCAACACATGTTAATTTCTCTTCTTTAAGAGAACCAGATCCATGTCTTACCCATTTTTTTTCACTTTTATAATGTGTATTGGTGAAGATCCGTAAATATTTGCTTAATGAATGACTA